TACAGATTCTTTGTTGAACATGCCTACAATCAATTCTTTCAGCATGAAGCATTCCATCAATCTGCAAGAGCAAGGACAAAGGTCAGGGAATGCGGTTCAGGTGACTTCCACACATCTACAAAGCTCGATGGCTACATCTGGGTAGCTGGAAAGGACAAGATCGCTCACATCCCAGGATCAGAGCAACAGAATGTGGACATGGAAGATCACGATGATGATGATGCTGAAGATGATTTGGAGTTTTTGCCAAGACTACAAGTTTTTGTCAGGAAAGAGGAGGAAAAGGCATCAGGCTCTCAGGAAAGAGAGGAAGAAGGTGTATGCTCTCAAGAAAGAGAGGAAACACAACCACAACAAGAAAGTGAGGTATTACCTGATGCAAATCCTCGAAGAAATATGGAAGATCGACAGGGACTGTTCTTAGTCAGGCAACTCAAACCAGAGCACAGACAGATCCTCCATGATATTACACTCGCAGGCCAATCAGTCCTCACAGGAGATGATCTTGAAGGAGGTCAACCCCTTGAACGTGGTGACATAAGCTTCTTCTCATTATGGTTGATGATGTCAGCATTATCAGATGCTTCCTTTTCAACATTTATGGAGCAGTATGCACCTATGATGGGTTATGAGATCTCTTACGACAAGTACTATGAGTTCAAACTGGATATTGACCAAGTTCTCAAGGACAATGAACACCTTGGCGCAGAAAATTTCTTTGGAGCAGAGGATCCTCCTATGGTGGACGATGATCCAGACACTCCACTTCCAGATCTTCAAAGACCAGGCGCAGGTGATCCTGAGTACAAACATACCATTGAAAGTTTGAACATTGAGGACAAACATATCATTTTGGAAACTGATGATGACAAATTGGTTGAGTGTACATTGAAATGGATCAGTATGTGCAATCAGAATGTTCAACGAAAGATCAAGGAAAGTTTTGTCAAACCAGAAGAAGGACAAGAGAAAGAAAAGGATGAAGAAGAGGAGATTGCTGTCGAAGAAAAAGAAGAAGAAAAAGACACACAGGAGCCACATGTCCCAGCTGAAGGCTCTTCAGAGAAAGAGGAATCAGCTCCACCTGAACGCTCCTCAGAAAAGGAGGAATCAGGGGAGAAGAAGACAGACATTCAAGATGATGAGACAGCTCCTGAAGTGAAACCTGCAGTTCGACTTTACTATGGTCAAGATATCACTGGAAACGAAGATGATTCAGTTTTTCGAAAATTGAAGGATTGTTTTTCAGATGGTTACCATGGTGAATGGGCAGGATTTTACAACAAAGGTTATCCAGCGTCTTCGAAGCATCGACATATGTTTTGGCATGTTAAGTACAGGAAGACCATGTCTCCACATCATGATTTTTGGTACCATCTTACAGATGACCAGTTGATGGTTGAGTACATTGCCAGACACAAGGATCAGAATCCACAACAAGAATTACAAGAACTCAATCAGCGCATTGAATATGGTTGTAGTGATCCTAGGATGCATCCTCTTCATCAAGACAAGGCAGAAAGATCCTCAAAAGAAGCAGAAAAGAGGATTGATGACGATTTTGGAAATCTCACAAGGGTACTCCAAGATTACGTTGAGGACCACAAGGTCTTGCCTTACTGTATGATCTTGCATAGCTTGGCTTACAGGTATTTAGGTGGAGGCCTATCAGACCCAACGTACAAGGATGCTGAATTTCCATACAGATCCTCTCCACAGATAACAGCAATGTTTTGGAATTTGGGAAACTGGTGCAGAAACAGATTTGAAAAATGCCCGGTTCCAGAAAGATTTCAACAATTCATTCCACACATTGACTACACTATCGATGAGGATCATGAAAAATTTGATGAAAACAAATCACAGTTCAACAATTACTTCATCAATGTCATCAAGAACTTTGGAGGACATCTTTTCATGAATTGCGAGGCTGGTTCATTGTATCCTCACAGAGAAAGACTCGACGAGGTTGACTTTAAAACTTGCTTCAATGACTATCATGACTTGATGGTGGCAGCTCGCCTTGGAAAGGATGGCTATATCAAGCAGATTGCTGGCTATCACACAGATGACAACGACACACGAGTTCGACAAGTCTCATGGGCAATCTTTGAAGTATCTTGGGGAAAGACAAAGGATCGAGATACAGATGAGATTGTTGACTTGACAAGAGCTAGGATGAGAATGACACGTGTGTGCGTTTATCACGTCGGACAGAAGTATGCATCAGACTCTGCTGGAATTGTTGGTGAGTGCTTAGCTGTTATGGCTTTTGAGTGTGCCAGATATCAAGTTGACTTCATCGCAGGTGATGGAAACAAGGCATGCTATTACAGCACACCAAAATCTCCAGGTGTCCCTACATATCAACACAGCCTTATCCAATTCTGGATCAACAGAATGGTAGGTGTTGCAACACAAGCCATGCGCAAGAATTTTGATCCAACTTGCCCTCCAATCAGGGTCAAGCATTTCATTTCTTGCAGTTATCGTGACTTGGATTTTCTTGCAACGCACTTGGATGGCATTACAACAGCAACATACACCAACGAGCTCATGAAGAAGACAACTGGTAAAGGTGATTGTTGTATGTTAACAGTTGTTGAGTGGGGTCATTCACGTTTGATGTGTGAGGAACACCCAGAAGACTTTGAGGATGAAGATCACATGAACTATGTGGGTGAATTTTACTTCAAGGTAAATGAAACTTGCTTACATGGTGATCACAACATCTTCATGGTTGCTCCAAATGATCGCGATGCTCATAATCCAATTCTTATCCATCTTGATCCTTCTGATATGTCATGGAATGAACGACATCATTACAAACAGGCTTACAAGAAGAAGCAGTATGCTGATTCAAGAAAGGAAAGACAGAAGGAGAAAAAGAGAAAGGCATATGAAGATCAAGCATCGACGTATCAGGGCAACACAGAGTGGGGTGGATCCTCATCTTCAGCGTCCAGACCATGGAGATCAAGTGAGTGGCGATGAGTGAGTGTACACTTCTTTAATTGAAGATAACACAGCATGAGAAGCCGTGTACAGTTTTTTTTTCTGTGCGTTCAACTTATTTCACACAGATGGCATATACTCTTTTAGATAGAGATAATGCCACAAGTGTCTGAACTTCAATTTAATGTAAAATAGATACTCTTGTAAATAGAGATACTATACACATTTATCTCCATGAATCATCCGGCGAGCAGACCACTCCGAATGGAGCGAACTCCAAAAATTTACCAACTTCGATCTCAGTCCATTGTTTGCTTGAATGAGCAACTTTGGAGATCCGCTATTTCCGTTTATTTCGTGATTTGGTCAATTGTTTTTCGTATGACCTGAATTTCTGAATCTTGCGAATCCGAACTTTTCAATTCGAACTTTCACCGGTAGAGCAAGGCATTTTGCCTATGGAGAGACCGTGCGCGAAGCACCATTGGTCGCTACTGGAAAAATTAGCGAATCCGCTGTTCTTTTTCGACATGTCCTTAGGACATTCGCTGCTTTCACGTGTTTTTCAATTCGAAGCCACTGCGTAACTCCGGTTTCTTTTGCTATTTGCCATTGTGTAGAGAAGTCAGGAAGATACTCTTAATACCAATTGGGTACGGCAAGGCGTAGTGCTCTACTCATTGCTTTTGAATTTGTGCCTGTGTTTTTGTTTCGACCTAATACCTACATAGGTACATGCATGAGTATTGAGCACATTTATATGCGCCCTTCAAGGCTCAAGAGGTATATAGAGTAACCCTGTAGACATAGCACTGACCGGCAACAGGCTGACTAAAAGAGTGCTGTCATTGGGGAAGACGCCTTAGCTGATCTTGAAGTAGACGCTAGGGCCCCTCTTCAGCCCTCCCCCCTGCACCCCCCCACCCGCTTTTATTTTTTAATGGGCTTCCCTTGCTACCTACACCCTTTCCTTTTTTCATAAGCATCATCGGTTACTTGGGTTCATTCTATCTTTATTGGTATCCCCCCCTGCACCCCGCCACCCGCTTTTATTTTTTAATGGGCTTCCCTGCTAGCTTTGTGCTATGGTCCTCAGATCAGTGGACTGATAGCAACGCCAAGCGTAGGTATAGCGCCTCACAACCGGAAATGTGCGCCATTGATCCGAACTCCAAAATGTAACAACCATGGTTCTAAATGCTGCGGTGGCACAGCCGTTTTGTGTGTGCAAAAAAACAGACCTTTGGAAATGTGGAATGCAAACGCAACAAAAATAGATACATTTTCAACAAACGTTTATTTGTACGGAAAAACCAGCAAACGCAAAAAAAAATCGGAAAAATCAAAAAAATATGAAATTTTCATAAAAATACGAAAATTTCATAAAACATATGAAATTTTCATAAAAAATATGAAATTTTCATAAAAATCTGAAATTTTCATAAACAATCAAAAAGATGATCAACATATTTACAATTTTCCACACAAAATCCGAAAATTTCATAAAAACAAAACGAAATTTTCACTGACCCAGAACACAGACACAGATGATGGACAAATCACATTTGCATAAAAATTAGTGAAAGGGTTTTTGTTTGAGTAAGTACGTGCTGCCAGCTGTCCTGCGATCTCAAATCGCGGACATGATTTTGTTTGGTTCGTTCGTCCTGCGGTCTTGAACCGCGGACAATATTTATTTTTGCTTGGTTTGTGTGCAAGTTTATGTTTATTCTCATTGACTGCCGGGCTGATAATTTTAGATGATGGTCGCATTGCGTCAAGACAAACGCATAGTGTACAGTACAGTGTGCAGGGACCACAAGAACAACAATGAATCATTACCTCATTGCCGGAATCACACACGCACACACACACCTCACCTAACTTACCTATAGCTGGCAAGATTCAAGATTTCTCACCAACAACTTCAATATTGTAGACTTCAGATGGCTATGGAGCATGGCATGGATGATTTCATTGTCCAGTCCAGACTCAGTCCAGACAACAAATCAGATTAAATTTGCACATGTTCATAGTGATGAGTGATGGCTGATCTGGTGCCGCCTAGACTTGCTTGGGCTTGCACGCATGGAGAATCACAGCGTTGGGGGCACAGGCACAAACTTGATGGTGGGTCCTATAGAACAGATTGGAATGCCTGCAGTCTGTCCGCGCTGGACGAACCAGACGAAGGTGTGAGCGTTGCAAGGGATGATCTGCCTTCCAAGTGTTGTGACCTGGTGTTGGGTTTAGTTTTGATCAAACCAGCGTTCACTTATCATAGCCTTTGCAATCTCAGCCGCATGGAGCAGAAGCAGCAGACCTTTTGGGCCTCTGTCTTTGGAAATTCAATGCATGGAACATTGTATTTTTTTTCGCTTGCTGAAGGCAAGGCGGCCTTTCGATTTCCAATGCATGTGAACATTCCTGTGGTCGACAGGAGACGGCTGAAAACCTTTTTTTGTTCCCTGGATGTTGGAGCAGGCATTGAATTGGTGAAGAGTTTGGACGGGATTTTGCCAGAAACTTTAGCATCAATGGCTTCAAGTTGCACATTTTGTGTACGTTTGCCTGCATACTTTGCTTGGGCGTTGTTCAATGGAAAAGCTGAATCCTTTGCATTGCCAGATCCAGATGTAGAAGATTTATTTCACAGCAGTCGGCGTGTGAGATCGCGAATTGTGGGCTGGTCTTACTGGCCTGGAAGTTTTGCCACATTTGAGCCGCCTATGTTCTTGGAGCAATCAGAAGATTTCTCTTCAGCTGCTGCCGGTCGTATTGCGACCTTGATCAAGTCTTTCGCATCACAGATTTCCCGGCAGGAAGGCAATGAGGAAACACTTCACGAGTGCCATTTGGCAGTAAGCACATTGATGCGGTTGCGGGACGAACTTAGTACACAGGGACTTCACCAAGGTGTCTTGCAATTGCGTGGGCGGGTGAATGCTGCTGGGCAACTCCCTTACCAAGCTTCGTTTCTGATCAAAACGCTACTCATGTGCAGCCACTTGCGGGACTCTGCCGATTTGAAGAAGGTTCTTCGCAAAGCAATGGACATGGCATTGCCAAAGTCTTTGGCGCGTGAGTTGATCAAGAAGTTTTTCGATTCTGGAGAAAAAGTGAAAATTCCGAAACCGTCAAAACTTACACGAGCACGATTTATGTTGGATGCAGCTCTGATGATTTTCAACAGAGAGATTAATTGCAAGGACCTTTGTATGCAAAAACCACACAGCCCGATTCGATTTGCAATGGTGGATTCCTCTGTCCAAGGGCACTACAACTTGGAGCTTCTGCGTGTGGTGTCCATTGATGGGGACCATGTCGTTGATTTGTTTGTGGATGCAATGGAGTGTTTGACTGAAGCAGAGCGCATTGTCATCGAATTGTTGGCTGACCGAGAATTGCAAGCTGCAGATTGGATGTTGTACTTGGAAGCAGAGGAGCATAGATTTCAGACTATGAAGTCGTGCATGCGATTGAGCCTTTTTCCAGCAGTTGCATTGGGAAACCAGCAATTGTACCATAAATTTCATGCAGTTGCACATGCTTTGTTCCTTGAGACGGGAAGTGCCCAATCTCTGGCTTCTTTTGCATCCCAGATTTCAGCATTTTGTACTGATCAAGGTACAGAGTTTGCATTGCCCAAGGTTCCAGCTGTTCCCATTTACTCATTGTTTGGATTTTTGCGACCATCTGATGACGATATGGATTGGGCACCGGAAATGTTGGATTTTGGTGAGAGATGCGCGGAACCCTGTGTCGATTTCTCAAAGGCTATAGCAATCGCTGGTCTTCTGCACATCATTCACAATAGCAGCTCCGATCTTGGAAAGTCAATGTCCTGCCGGGACACTGTGATTCAGCAGCTTCAACATGTGTCCCGTCTTTTGCGCCGAAGGGAATCCAAAACCCGTTTGATGGAGTCTTGTTTCAACGACCCAATCGGGAAACATTTCCATGCAGAGATCAAAGCTTTCCAGTGCAAACTTCACACCGGACGTTGGGGAAGTGTGGCTGCTTGCATTTTGGGAGTTTTGGGTCTGGAGACAGTGCTTCAGTATGGATGGGATGCTAGCAAATACAAAAATGGCCGCGTCTTGGCTGGCCATGATGGTGACGAGGCCAACCCATTTGGTGTAGACATTGCAGTGGTGGATGGGGCCATAAAGTCCGAGATCTTCTGGGCACGACTGAAGATGTTGGAATCCTTGGCGGTTGTGCTTCAGAAGTGCTTGGCTTGGGCGGAAGGCTGTCCATGCCATTCCAATTTAGAGCTGCCGGCTGGCCAGGCGTCCGACACACTTCGTAGGCTATGGTTCACCTGTCCGCTCCGCGGATGTAGGGCTCCAGAACTTGCTGCTGGGGACTTTTTTGAAGTATTCAGGAAGAATTTTCAGCAGTCAAGTGCGGCGTTGCTGCTGTCCTTGCCTCGGGATTTGAGCTCCGAAGACAGAATGAATTTACTTCACGATTTCGAATCTGCCAAGAACCATTTGCACTTTGTGTTTCGCTTGAGATTGGCTTTCTGGTTTGACTTGCCTTGGAAGGTATATGGATGTGCCCATCCGAACCCAGCAGTTCACAAGAAGTTTTTGGAGGATTGCCTCAATGCAACATGTGAAGAAGTGGCATCTTGCCCTTTGCTACAGGAGCTTCATTGTGAGTCGGTGAAGGCAGAGGTGAATCAGTATTTGCTGGAAGGACGTGAATTGGCAACGTCTGCGAAGCTATGTCGTTTTCTAGCAAGATTGTGTTTTTGCCCAACTGCCGAGAGAGCTGTGGAAGGCGACCATGCAATTGTCCACAGAAAAGTTGCCCTTGCTCGAAACCACACAATGGCATACATTAGTTTGTCCAGAAGGATGGTCACTGTTCAGAACTTGATTGATGAAGATCCTGAAAACCTCACCAGGGTGGCCGCAATTATGCAGAAAACCCACAGCCCTGCTCTGATTCTCACACAATTGGGGCTTGCAAATCATCCCTCGACAGCTTACCTCACCAATTACCGCGACCCTCTGCACCTGTCGATTGTTTATCGCTCAGACGGCCCCACTATGTTCCAATCTGGATTGGACTTGGTACCTCCAGACACCACCGATGCCACCGGTGTTTTTGAAATTCAGGACCGGACGACAGTGTTGATTATACAAATCAGTTGAAGCACATGATTTCGTTGATAGAATCTTTTCATACATTTTCATATGACATTCATCAGAATGGAAAGTTCAAATCGGGTTCTCACTTACCTCCTAAGCTTGAATGTAGTTAATATGGTTTAGATGTTTTCCGTTTCAAGCCGCGCTGGGCAAACATATTTTTATCTATGTCATATCGTAGGACAAGCCAGAGGAACTTTGTGATCGCGACTTTGGTGATCGCGGTGGACCAAACAACCGAGAAGATAGAGAGCCAATGGATCTGTACCAGGGTGAAAGCTCTCGATCACAGGAACTTGTGAGGCGTTACATTTTGCAATCAATGAAAGTTTGGCTCCAAGAGGACCAGGAGAAAGCTGCTGCTGAGAACTGCCGGTTTGTGTATTCATTTCCTTTTTGCGCAATGGCCATCAAGTCCTTACAGCGTTTACTGGAAACGTCAACTTTGAGAAACTCGTTGTCTCAGAAAGGCGTTCTGTTTGCTCAGTTTTTGAGAAGTGGAGTCGACGACATCAAAGTGCCGAACCGCAATGCTTTCAAGCGCACTAATTGGGCTGTGTCGTTTCTTGAAGTCACAAAGTTCGATCAAGCTGGTGACTATGTAATGGTAAAGACTGATCCAATTCACTTGGATTCTGAGACTGGCACCGGAGCCGGAGACTCCGCGTCAAGCGCGCCCTTCATCCTCTGCTTGGAGGCTTTGCCATTGGATACATTGATGAAGATGCGAAGGTGGCAGGTTGAGCCAGACTTGAGCGTCTCTGTCAAAATACTTGATGGAATGGATTCTGAACTGTATGGTACTTCTCATTGCTCAGCATTGTTGACCCAGCTTTTGGCTCATGGTGATTTCTTCTTGCAGGGAAACGATGAAGAACTTGAGGTGAGACAGTCAATTTTGACAGACATGGCCAGCAAAGGCTTGGCCGAACAACATGAGAACACAGGCTGGAGTTTGACTTCAGCAGGAAAGGACATTGTTTCTGTGTCGTACATTCTGAAACAGCGTCAAAAAGTTGTGCGGATCAGGAAAGATGTTTCCATAGACGATATGGAAACTATTGAGTTATTGCTGCAACTGCAAATGAATGGTTGGAAGTCTGAAGCTGTTCAAGGCAAAGAATCAGTATCCCATGTTGCCAAAAGTTCCTACATTCATGGAGAAGAAAAGATATGGTACCAAATTCAAGACAAGGAGGCTGTTTGCCGTGAGTATTTGCGTCTGTTGTTGACTGCGAGCACGCACTTGCAACCAGTTCCCCATTTGCAGCCTGCTTCAGTTTATTTGAAAATGCTTGGGAAAGAACCATCCTCTCGGAAACGACGAGGTTCAATGATATTTCTTGATGATGAAGATATATGGTTTAAGCTCTTCTAGGACTGCTGGGGCCCGGGCTAGCAAAAAAAGGCCAAGGAAAAGTCAAGGCTTGACAGCTTTGGAACATGTCGATCAGGGACAGCTAGCTGCTGCTTCTACATCTGGCGTTTGTGTTGCTGGAAGTGACATTGTGGAACACCAGCCTGATGGAGAGTCATCGGATGGAGGCTGTTCTTCCAATGGAAATGCTTCTTCACCTGTGTCATCTGCAAATCCCGGCAAAGCAAAGTCATCATCCAGATCATCTTCAGCCAGATCTGGATCGTCAACACATGGCTCTGGGTCTGAGTCTGGGTCGTCCTCGTCCTCATCAGAATCCTCCAGCCAAAAACCTAGTGATGATAACAAGCCTGCTTCTGCTCGTGGTACAGGTGTCAGAAGGGAACGTAATTCGGAGTTTTGGGGCCCTTTCAGATTCACACCGACAAAGAGCGGCTGGCAGGTTACGTGTCCTTTTCATGACACAGATGGAAAAGCGCATTGCACAAAGACTCGATCAAACAACGTTCTGGGTAATGAACTCGCAACTCGAATGCTCAAGACTTGGGCTTTGTGGGGAAAAAATGCTGTTTCGAAGGATGACCACCAAAAGAGGATATGGAAAGAAGTTTGCGATGCTCAAAAAAACAACACTTTGCCATCTTCTGACAGTTTGGACAAGCAAGTCTGAGCGATTCAAGACTTCAAGAAAAGGTGCTTGTGTGGACTGTGGACGGTGTAGACGTGATCAGATTTTTCCCCCACAGAAACTTCCATGCTTCGTTGGGTTGGTTCACCAAAAAAGCCAACCACAAGTCCCCAAAAAACAGTGTTTTTCCCTTTATTTTATGAAAGATTTTGGGACTTGTGGGGGGCTTTTTTGGGGGACCAACCCAAGTGGAAAATTAACACTACAAAGGCATTGCTAATTTGGTGGGGTCCGTTTTATACACTTTGAAGGGGGATGGGAACATAGTTGACAAGTTGATAGTTGACATGAACTTGAGATGGTTTATGAAAGATGTAAGTAGATGAAACACTTTGGATGTGGCCCGCAGACGTGGGTTGAAAGTCCTTATGAATAAGCTCGAACTCTTGACGGATAGCGCGGCGTTTATATATACATAAGTTTGTATGTTTCATATTTACGCCACTTTATGTCAGAATTTTGTCCAGAAGTAACTCTGTGTACCTCAGTAGTTGTGCAACCGCTTTGTTAGAAAAGGAAATAATTTTTGTCAATAAGAATACTGTTTTTTGTAGAAGGAGTAGTGATAGTGATCCCTTTCAAAGCAAATTTTCTTCCAGGTAGACTTTCAAGCTTTGTTGGCGTTCAGCGTTGTGCATCTTGCGGTATGACCGCAGATGAGTAGCAGCAGGTTCCGTTGCTGTCTTGTGTTCAAGTTTTTTCGATATGTGCTTGACTCGTCATTGCTGACATCTGCCTTTTCCTACGGCCGACATGGATGCGAACCTTCAGAATGATGTAGACGCTGCTGCAGCTGCAGTTCAAGCAGGAGATTCGAAGCAGCGCTTTGTGGAGACTCGTGCTCGGCATCTCAGCTACCAAGAGATGAAAAACATGTACCCCGAGATGTCCGAAAAGGATCTCTATCGTTGTTCCGGGATGGACTGAAAGAAGCTGTGATGACTGACAAGAAGGAGCTGCAGCGGATTTCTAAAACAAAAGCAACGTAGATCAGCTGCGCACATTTCACCGCAACTTGAGAAAAAGGTGCCTCTGATCTGCCAATTTTCCACTTGGGTTCGCCCCGGAAAACGGACCCCACCAAGTATCAAATTTCCTTTGGGAAACTCAGGAAAAAGCTATTTTTCGGGGGACTTGGTGGGGTCCGTTTTCCGGGGCCAAGCAAAGTGGCAAATTGCCACTCTGATCGTTTTCCGCTTTGGAAGTGTTGTCGTGGCTTCATCAGGAGAAACTAATGGATTGTTGGTTCTACTTGAGGATTTTGAAGTTCCATCAAAAAAATCAGCAGCCAATTTCGAGCAATTTCGAGCAACTTCGAGCAGTGTTGATTATGAAAATTCGTAAAAAATCGTAAATATTCGTCAAACGTTTTTAAAGAATGGTTGAGCATATGTGATGATGTTGTGATTTTTTGGTGGATTAGCAGGAAGGGATATTCAAGAATTGATTCATTTGATTTGATGCTTCGCGGTTTTACCGCAGGCAAAACAGAATCATGTGATTCACATTGTCGCCGTTTTGTCCAGCATGTAGTTTATGTTTTAGTTGGTAAAAAATATGCACAATCAGACATCAGATTCAAGTACTACCATTTCTCCATATAACACTGTAGTAACCATAAAATGTTGTCACACGATAACATTGACTAACATTTGACGCTTTCAGGGAAGGAACAAACAAGCAAATTAATTACAAATGGAATATAGCAATATAGCTACATAGTGATAATGACAGTGATACATTTACACCTGTATATATATATGTATATATATATATGTCAGTGGTAATCCAGGCAATTATGCACAGACATTCCTGCGGATCTGAGCATGTCTCGTCGTCCCGCAGATGATGCAGGCAACTCCAACAGTTACAGTGAGGAGAGCACAGAGAGCGAGAGCTACACTATCAATTTTTCGATTCGAGTGCGGTCGTTGAAGAAGATAGTGAGACAGGAAATAGCTCTCAGCAGAGATGAGAAAAAGAGTCAGAGAAAGTCTAAGAAGAAAAGAAAAAATAATAAGAAGAAAGGCAAGAAGACAAGGTCCGAGTCCAAGTCCAAGGGTTCAAGAGACGCGAAAAGTAGCTGCAAACGTCGTGGAAGAAGTACTAGAACAAGATCGGAGAAGACTCGGTCAGCATCAAAGACACGGTCACCAACAAGGCGGGATTGCGTAATATTTGAGGTTGCAATGATGGAAATTCCTTTTAGTTATGTGTTGCAGCGCTATGGATAGTTCACACAAAGATTTTTTTTCATTGCAGGCTGCCGACTCCGGTAAAGGATGACAGTGGTAGCGGCCCTAGCGGCATTGCCAGTGCCCAACTTCAGAGACAAAATGCCAGAAGCTTCTTGGTTGGACTTGGTTTGACAGCAGAAGATGAACTTGAGTTGAGTATACTCACTTACAGCGTCAGGCGTCAGCCTTTAATGAAATACGTTTTTCTTGGACCGTGTTTTTCGGGGCCACTGCTCCTTTCAGGATTCGATGAAGCTGACAGTACAATGACACTTGGTGTTGAATAGAGTTGAGTGAAGATGCATTTCATGGGTCATGGATGTCTTATGTTCAGGAATATTTTTTTCATTGCAGTTCAGATTTGTGCCATAGCTTGTAATATGTTTCTGCTTCTTTCGGAAGGATTGGAGATGTGCAGCCTCCACCAGATCCACATGCTCCACCAGATGCCACCAGTGGTGTTGCTGTTGCGTATCTTGTTCATACAGCTACAATGCGGTCTGTGACTGTGACATTTGCCTTAGCTGTGCAGTTATTTCATTTCATGTTGCGATCTTTTCTAGCCATGCATGTCGTGGCATTGCAATCTTCTGATCTTAGGGATGTAAAAGCGTCGGAGTCGCATCCATCGACATCTGCCAAAAATGATGAGACTGGCATTGCAGTTGCAGTGCCAGTGCCAGATGAGAAGGAGACAGCAGATCAGATGGGGCAGATTCTCATTTTGCACCAAGAGTAGGCACTAAAAAAATATTAAATATTCGGCAAGTTTGCTTGCTTGCGCTGTAGAGTGAAACTGCTGTTCTGATCAAGTATGCTGGCATTGTTTGCTATCCAAGGACACACACTCATGAGTCTCATGCTGGGCATGGGCCATCTGCATCTTCACATCCTGAGCCTTCAGATACGGAGAGACTTTGCTGAAATGTCATTTCAAATATTGAATAGTTTTGTGCAGCATTTGATATCGAAACAAAAAAATCTAGGATTCCTGATACTCCTGGAGCGCTTCCAAAGTCCAGACCTTCATGCAGAAGAATGTGCCTTGTTTGCTGTGTTTGCCACGCCATGATATTGTATGCAATCAGAGTTTTTGGGTGATTTAGATGTTTTTGAAGTTGACAATGTTAACAGCACTGTATATTTATATTTGTTGAGGTCCAACTGGGAGGACTATCGGCAGAAACATGGCGTTGACAAACCTAGAGGAAAGCGGAGGAAGAAGAACGCCAATCATGCAGCTTAGAGAAGTTGCCCTTTGGCCAAAATATAATGCTGTGTGAGTGGCATCAGTTGTATATATGTGAAATTGCATGCATTGATTCTGAGTACAGTGACTGGTTACTACTTAATATTTTGAACTTTGCTTCAGTCATTCTCCTGAAAAATATGCTTGAAAATCATGCCTGAACGAAAATCGTATGAAAATTCTGAAATTTTTGAAAATTCTGAACTTTATGAAAATTCTGAAATTTCTGAAAATTCTGAAAATTATGAAATTTATGAAAACAACATTCAATTTGTTTTAGTATTGAAATTTATTTTTTTTCATAATTTTCAAATTTTTCATCATTTTCATAATTTTCAGAATTTCTTAATTTTCAGAAATTTCAGAATTTTCATAAATTTCAGAATTTTCATAAATTTCAGAATTTTCATAAGTTTTAGAATCTTCATACGATTCTCACAACAAATTCATAAGCCAAAACCTGTCTGACAGGTACATACACAAAACTTCACAAAACCAGTATCACAATTTTTGAGTATCCATAGAGTTTGTTTGCATGATGCATTGATTTGTCTAAGGATGTGGATCGTTGCGCTGGAGACTGGACTCATTGGAGACTTGCAAGATCTAAAAGCTATGAAAAAAAGGCTTGTTGATGTCAGCATCAGTTTGGTAAGTATTCTGTTTTGAATCATGTACTGATTATATTCAGTTTATTGTTTTCTGCTTGCGGTTGCACCGCAGCAGAACCAAACAGCTTGTTACCAAATTATTTGAACATGCATCACATTACATTTGTGTAGCGGTTGTACCGCACACTGCAGACATTCCATTCTTTGTCTAGCTGTCTTACCGCAGGCAAAAACAAAAGATTCAATCAATTTTTATATCTACAGCCTATTGTAGGTAATGTAGGAGCCATTGGCCATCAAGTGATTCATATGGTTGTAGTTGCAAACAATTGCGGGTGCATTCATTGAATCATTGGATGAGTCAAAAAATGGTTTTTGTTTTTGTGATGTTGCATCAAAGCGTCATGCAATGCACGTTGTTCTTGGATCAAGACATTATAATACAAGGTATTTGTGCATACATCTCATCCATTGAGACTTTTTGTCTGCGATGGGTAAGCGCGGAGCACCAAAGTCTGAGCCGAAGGCAAAGGCGAAGGCTAAGTCAGCTCCTCGTGCTTCTTCCTCTTCTTCAAAGGCGCAGTGTATGACGGAGGACGAGTTGGGTGAGTACCGCCTCCTGCACAGCAAACTCACGTACAGGTCCAAAAGTGGAGTTGCTGGAGCAGATGAGGCCTTGCAGCAGCTCAAGCTGAACCGGCAAATGGTTTTGGACAAATTTCGCGGAGATAAGAGCATGTCTTGGGTGCCGAGTTTCTTGATTGCTTGAATGATTGTATACTATTTTCCACCACATGGAACCTTTTCTGTGTCACTGTCACTCATGTGTATATTTGAAGAACTTCGATTCAGCTAAGGTATGGTTCATTCCTTGGACTATACTTCTGTCAATGCTGTGGCCAAGAAGTCTGAGTGGCTGAACTCCTTCCAGATCATGCAGAAGCTTGGCCTATCGCCTGCTCAGATCAAGGCGGATGCCGATGCCAATGCGCTTTTCGAAGCTACTTTGGATACCTTGCCGCAGAAGGATCACTATGTCCAAGCTCTGCAGGAGAAAGGCATGAAGCTTTACGAATGGTCCGAAGAATGTGCAGAGGAAAAGGTTGGGTCGAGTGAGAAGATGTCTATCAATGCAACAGGTTCTGCTTCCAATGCCCCGAAGAACAAGGCACTTCCTGGAGCAGCAGATGCCAAGGGTGGTCCCGACTCGTGGTGAACTATGACCAGGTTTGCAACAGTTCTCGTGGACTCATGAAAAGGCAGATTAAGGAATTGGAGAGGTTGTCTTCGAAGCTGCGGTTTCTTGATACAATACAATGTTCAAACGATTTTGTGGATTCAGATTCACAGTAGATTTACCAAAGCATAGTTTTTCCATTTGGGATATTCATGACATGATGATGAAGATACAGTATCAATCATCAACCTGCACAGTACAGTGCTCAGTGCCCTTGTTATGATAAGGAAGTTGCGGGCAGATGTTCCGCAAAAGGACAATGAGCACTTGATGGATGACATGAAGAAGTGTGAGACGAAGCTGAATGCGTCGCTGGAGGATCTTACTTCGTGCCTTTGTGAGCACCCCAATGGTGGAAGTGAGGATATCCACAACAAGTTCAAGGCTGTCTTGGACGAGAGCATCGTCGTCAAGTCTGCTGCTGAGAAAGCGGAGGTTCTCGCCAAGGATGCCATCAACAGTTACAACATGAAAATTGACGAAGAACTTACAGCAGAGCTTGAGAAGGCTGAGGCGGCTGAGGCTAAGGCTAAGGCTAAGGCGGCTAAGGCCAAGCCTGGCAATTCTAACTCGAATGAGTCCGGCAGTGGTGATGACGAGAAGAAGGATGAGAAGAACCCAGACAATGCCAATGGGTCTGCCGCCTAGATAAGCTGCTGAGCTGGTTGAGAACATTGTGTTCAATGACTATTTGAGGCCACGAAGAGTTTTACCTTCTACTCGCAATCTTCGGGCTTTTGATCCAAATGGCCATCAGCATTTCAAAGCTTCGGGATGCTTTGACTTTGACAGCTTTGACAGCTTGGTCAGATCTTCAGCAGAAAAAAACAGTTTGCGCATGTCGTCGTCGCATGTTCTCTGTCTCGGGAAGTTTCCCTGGAGACACAAGCAGTGAACTATACCTATTTCGAGATTGTAAAATATGCCAAGTCAATATAAGTCAATATATGCCTTTTTCGAGCTTAGAGATTTCGAGCTTACAAGCTCCAATTTCGAGCAATTTCGAGCATTTGAGCCTATGTGTGGATAGTTTTTGGCTTCCTGCGAAAGTTTGGATTTTGGCAGAAAAACTAGCTAGGATGTCTTTAGCACCCATCAGCAGCAGAATATCATCCAAAAATCGACAAACATTTTGAGGTATGTTGCGTTCACAAGTATTTGCACCGATTTTCATAAGCAATTGCTAGCGCAATTTGCAGCAATGGACTTTGATGGAGAAGGGGTGTTTGATGAGCACCTTCAGCGACAAGCATCAGAACCCAATGGTGATGATGAAGCTCCAGAAGTTCAAGAGTCAGAAGGACAGCAGGCACCACGGAAACGAAGGAGAACTGCCAAAGCAGGCGTTGGTGAACGCGCTGCTGCAAAGACTTGCTTTGCAGGAAGTTGCAATGTGGAATGTGTCAAGGGCAAAAGGTGGTGCCCTGATCACAATCGCATGTTTGATGCAATGAGCTACCATGCAAGAAAGGACAAGGAAACTGAGGCTTTCAACAAGGTCATGTCGAATGCAATTGAGGCAGAGCGAGCCTTCAATCGGTTCAGTGAGGACAATCCAGTCGATGGAAAATGGGCCCGAAAGCGGTTCATTGAGTGGAGCCAGTTCAAGAGGGAGCATTCTTTGGCAATCGTTCAGTGTGATCGCCGAGGTGCCAAGCCATTTGAAAAAAATCAATGGCTCCAAAGAGGTATGCACAAAATGGGTTGGTCCAAACAGCAGTGCTTGACGGAGTGGGAAAAGCATGCCAAAGACACGTCTGTTCACAGAGACAGTTTGGGCCTTGATGGATCTTTGCGTTTGTGGATAACAGTTGTCGAGGTGAAGACTGAGGATGTAGAAAGGACATGGTTTGGGTGGTGGCTGTGGCCTGTGGCCGGGCCAGGATTGCTAACCTGTGGACTGTAGACTAGCTATGTTTTGGCAGTCTTATTTGAAAGAACCCAGTGAATATGTCCAGAAGATTCCTAGGCCAGGTTAGAGGCAAAGGTTCGCTGGCCGGTTGTGCTTATGCTTTTTTTGAGCAGCTTGACTGATGTGATGAAGTTGTGATTTTTGGTGGATTAGCAACGGATATTCAAGAAGTGATGCATTTGATTTGATGCTTCGCGGTTTTACCGCAGGCAAAACAAAATCATGTAATGTGACTCATGTATTGTTGAGCAGGGTGACTGTGACCCCTCGGCAGGAGGAAAAGTACAAGCCGTGTGGAAACCAGCACAGCGGAAAAGAACTTGGGCGATGCGGACAGGGACTTGATGCTTGATCAAGTTATGAAAAGCGGTGTTCCAAACAGTGTTGATGACAGATTCTTCAGTGAAGATGTCATTCAAGAAGATGAGGATGACACAGTTACGCCTACGAAGGTAAAGCGTGAGCAAGAGGATTCACCGGAAAACAGCTGAAGAGAAGAAAACAGCAGAAGAGAAGAAAAAGGATGCCAAGATTGCCAAACTTCTTGGCGGACCAGCTGCTGTGTGCTCCTTTCGGGCTAGCTTGGCAGAAAGTTCTCAGAAGGTTTGACGGCACGGAAGGACAAGATGCAGATCGCATGTGAAAAGCTCAATGAGGCCAAGGCGAAGTTGGGGGAAGCTTTTTCTTCAGATCAGGACCAGGAACAAAAGTCAAAGTCTTCCGGCAATGATGTGCTCTCTTCTTACACTACGCTTCTTGAGACTTGCCTAAATATTTGTGCGGCCTGGCTTGACCCCGTTTCACTTGAGCAATTGGAATCTGGATCAGATCAGCAACCAGATGACAAGGACAAGGACAAGGATAAGAATGGTGAAAAAGTGCCGACGCCACCTGCAGTTCATCAGAAGCAAGAGTATTTCTTGGATTGCTTGAAGAAGGCAGAGTCGCAGGTGAGGCTTAGCAATGGTGAGATGGAGATTTCGAGCCTTGCCATATGCGAATTCTGTCGCCACCTCGTGATGACTGCAACCTCTTCAACATGGCTTGTGGAATTTGAGTCAAATATGAAAAACACCTGGGCAGTGCAGGATGTATTTCAGAAGTCCCTTCTGAGAATTGCCAATGATGTGACAAGCTATGTCAACCAAAAGGCACGTAATGCCAGGAGAAATGAAGAAAAGAAAAAGAGGGAAGAAGATAGTCGGGCCACGAAGGCTCGCAGGGCAGAAGCGAAGGCCCAGGCCCAAAAGGTGAAGCAAGGCAAGATTGAAGGGCATCCCATTTTTGTCATCGACGAGAAGATGTTTCGTCCTTTCCATGATCGATCCAAGCGAACTCCGTGGACGAGAACCTCAATGAGCCATGGATCTGGAAATCCTGCAACTTGAATTATATACAGTTAGATTTTTCGCATGGCAGATGATATGATGAATATTATGTATTCTTTATTTTCTGGTTTGGTTGAGACTCTGAGACTCTGAGTTGGCAATTTTCCATTTTGAACTGAATTTCAACAAGTGTCCTTGCAGCCCGTTTTTGGCCCCCCGAAAAGGGTTTCCAGTACAGTTAACTGTTACACGTCAGGACAATCCGAAACTAATTGGAAAATTCCCACTCCGAGTCATACATGCATTAGATTCTTCTCTGTACTGAATTCATTGCAGCACGTTGATATGTTCAACAACATTGTTTCCTATTTTGTTTGCTTCTTGTCCACCCTACTCTCATGCAATACACATCACATCATTGCAATTTTTTGATCTTGTCTAAGGCGAGCGCTCCAAGACATGGCGCAACCATCCCAATGTCTCTGTTCGGTTGTCAGAGTTCGGTGGGACCTACAAGCAAACAGCTTCGTTCAAGTCAGATGGCCGTAGCATGGCGCCCATTCTTCGAAACCAAGGCAAAAGTGAAGCAGATTCTTTGTGGGCAGCAATGTTTCCTTGTCAGAAAGTCCTGGACATTTCGAAAATTCCAGAAGGAAGTTCGTTCATGGAGAACTGTTGGTATTTTGGGTATGACCCAAAAGGGTCTTGGGCTCACTTCGCTCCAAACGGTGCAGGGATGATTCGGTGTCTCGCATCTGGTGAGATGCGGGTCATTTGTTTCGGAGTCAAAGATGTTTCGGACCGGATGACTGAGAAGGGACTTGTCTTGAACCTGGAGAAGATGACGGAGTTCGTTTTGTCATTGGCGGCAGATGATCCGATAGTTGCCAAGGGCTTTGCTGCCCAGATTTGCCAAGATGATGTTATTTTTGTACCACCAGGAATGGTTTTGTGTGAGAAGAGTACATCTTCCATTCTTCTTTATGGCGCCCGGAAGTCCTACATCTTGAAGAATGATGCGGCCATGGAGTCCTACCAGATTTGCATTGACATGTTACAGGCTTCAGGCCGCGATCCTTCGAAAATGAAGTCAGTTGTCCAGCTCTACAAAACTTCGGCCGAGAATGTTGCTCCTGAAGCAGCTGCAGCTGGGGTTCCATCCCCAAATATTCCCTTGGAGAACGTGGAAGCGAGCAAGATTGACGACGAGAAGAAGGATGCGGAAAAGGACGATAAGTAAGCCCTGGCCCTAGCATGTTCCAACGTGCGTCCAGGATCCAGAGTCCAGGGAAAGCCTTGGATTTTTTTTCTAGGGGCTAGGTCTACGGTTCAAGGTAGCAGACTGTGACAATTTGATCACTAGTCTGGCAGTCTAGCGCTGATGCCTGAGGCCGCTGGGCTGACTTTTGATAGGAGCCGTGACCGCTCAAGGGGCAAATCAAATGGCAGACGTAGCCAATCCGATTGTAGATCAGAATTGTCCCCTTGCCACCTGTTGAATTTCAACCCTAGGCCGTTGTGATTTTGCTGCGGTTGTTAGAATTGTCCTGCAGGATCTGTGGCTTTGTCATTTGTAAGAGTGATAATTTTCACAAAGATCGTGATAAGGATTTGGTTTGGTTCAAGATTGATGATCGAGAACATTGCAGACTGCAGATTGTGCAGTTTTTCATTCATGTCATGTGCCAACGCAAAAGAGCACGGATCAGCAGATCAGCAGCATACCTTGCGTGCATCAGCTGGCATTAATTTAAAAAAAACAAAGAACTTCTTCTCACTTTCTCACACAGTGTGATAGCATTACATGATTACAAATTGGCATTCAAGCGATTGTGTGTGCGCCTCGGCCTCGCCGCCTCGCCTGGCCTCACCCTGGGTTTGGCGTCTAGCATGCCAGCACAGTCGTCCAATGCCGTGCAACTGCAACAGTGTCAACACCGTGAGGCTCCTGAGGGGCCGGCCAGTTTTGAGGAATTCTCAACATGGCCAAAGGCAATAGTGCAAAAACTGTTTGCGAGAGGCGATGGGAATGATGATGTTCGTTTGAATCGGGTGAGGTCTCTTTGCGCTGGTGGCCTACAGGTCTACTCGGACTATAGTGGAATGGCTGGCGAATATGAGTTTCTTTTCCAATTGGGAGAAGCTCTGAGTCCCAAAGTGAACTTCACGGTGATGCACAGACGCTTTTGTGACATCAGCAGAGTTTCTCAATGCATTTTGAAACAGATTGCCCAGACAGAAGTTGATGATGAGCCTTGCGTTTTGTGCGACATCAACAGCAGACTTCCTAAGCACGCACTTTCTTGGCTGGATGCCGCGATGCCATCGCCTGAAGACAGTGCAGAGTCCAGTGCAGCCAGCTATCGCTCTATGGAGAGATATTTGATGGAGAACAGGCATACAATTTTTCCCAATGCCACAACAGATTGGTGTGTTGTGCACAATCGCCGCTGTAGCTTGTTTCCTGAGAGTTGCCAACCCGATGATGACCAGCTGCAACCGTTAGTTATGAACTTTGCTGGAACCACTTGCCGTGGTTGGAGCTCGGCCGGTAAGAGCCGGCATTTCAGCGATCCTTCAGAGAGACCACATGCTGTTTGGGTCACTGAGAGGCGTTATCGCGCTGAAGAGTTGCAAGAAGCACTTTTCTTTTCTGAGTGTACGCCAAGATACCCTGTAGAGGTGACAGTGAGGGTCAGGGCCGGGGCCGGGTGTTGAGTTGTGAGGATAGATACATTAGATGGATGATGAAATCAATCACTTGCCGTGTTTCAATGTCGTCTTTGGGCTGCGGGCTGGGGCCAGGGTCTGGTGGACAACAAAACCAAACCCTGATCAGATTATCAACATTGAAGTTTGGGGTGTGAGTTTTTATTTGGTAGATGTCTGTAGACTGTAGGGTTTGATTCTTTTCTTCATGTAGTGTAGGACTTGCAAGTCGAGCTTAGCTGCTTTGGTTTGCAATAGATATTCTTGCATCCGCTGCTTGTGAGGAGAAGCTGCAGAAACCACTCGAGGAGAGCCACCGCGTTCTTTCAGTAATCCTTGAACCATCCATGCTCGGGTGGCCTGTTCGGCGCAAAAGAATGTTTTCTGCTGGACTCAGTCGGGCACAAGTGGCATGGCTGGGACTGACAATGGTGATGACATCTTGTCAGATTTCTTAGATTTTTTCAAGGTGTCAATGATCAGGTTATACTTATATGGCGGTTTGGGTTGGTGGTTTGGAAGTCTGGGAAATCAGAGTTATGTGCAAAATAGATTTGAAAAATGTGTTTTTGTTTTGTGTGTTTTGTATTTGTTTTATTTTTTGTTTAACTAATCTAAATCTAATCTAATCTAATCCTAATCCTAATCCCTAATCCCTAATCCTAATCCCTAATCCCTAATCCTAATCCCTAATCCTAATCCCTAATCCTAATCCCTAATCCTAATCCCTAATCCTAATCCCTAATCCCTAATCCTAATCCCTAATCCTAATCCCTAATCCTAATCCCTAATCCTAATCCCTAATCCTAATCCCTAATCCTAATCCTAATCCCTAATCCTAATCCCTAATCCTAATCCCTAATTCTAATCCCTAATCCTAATCCCTAATCCTAATCCCTAATCCCTAATCCCTAATCCTAATCCCTAATCCTAATCCCTAATCCTAATCCCTAATCCCTAATCCTAATCCCTAATCCTAATCCCTAATCCTAATCCCTAATCCTAATCCCTAATTCAAATCCCTAATCCTAATCCCTAATCCTAATCCTTAATCCCTAATCCCTAATCCTAATCCCTAATCCTAAATCCCTAATCCTAATCCCTAATCCTAATCCCTAATCCTAATCCCTAATCCCAATCCCTAATCCTAATCCCTAATCCTAATCCCTAATCCTAATCCCTAATCCTAATCCCTAATCCTAATCCCTAATCCTGATCCCTAATCCCTAATCCCTAATCCTAATCCCTAATCCTAATCCCTAATCCTAATCCCTAATCCTAATCCCTAATCCTAATCCCTAATCCTAATCCCTAATCCTAATCCCTAATCCCTAATCCTAATCCCTAATTCTAATCCCTAATTCAAATCCCTAATTCTAATCCCTAATTCTAATCCCTAATTCTAATCCCTAATTCTAAATCCTAATTCTAAATCCCTAATCCTAATCCCTAATTCTAATCCCTAATCCTAATCCCTAATCCTAATCCCTAATTCTAAATCCTAATTCTAAATCCTAATTCTAAATCCTAATTCTAAATCCTAATTCTAAATCCTAATTCTAAATCCTAATTCTAAATCCTAATTCTAAATCCTAATTCTAAATCCTAATTCTAAATCCTAATTCTAAATCCTAATGCTAAATCCTAAAACTAAATCCTAAATCTAAATCCTAATTCTAAATCCTAATCCTAAATCCTAATTCTAAATCCTAATTCTAAATCCTAATTCTAAATCCTAATTCTAAATCCTAATTCTAAATCCTAATTCTAAATCCTAATTCTAAATCCTAATTCTAAATCCTAATTCTAAATCCTAATTCTAAATCCTAATTCTAAATCCTAGTTCTGAATCCTAGTTCTAAATCCTAGTTCTAAATCCTAGTTCTAAATCCTAGTTCTAAATCCTAGTTCTAAATCCTAATTCTAAATCCTAATTCTAAATCCTAATTCTAAATCCTAATTCTAAATCCTAATTCTAAATCCTAATTCTAAATCTTAATTCTGAATCCTAATTCTAAATCCTAATTCTAAATCCTAATTCTAAATCCTAATTCTAAATCCTAATTTTAAATCCTAATTCTAAATCCTAATTCTAAATCCTAATTCTAAATCCTAATTCTAAATCCTAATTCTAAATCCTAATTCTAAATCCTAATTCTAAATCCTAATTCTAAATCCTAATTCTAAATCCTAATTCTAAATCTTAATTCTAAATCCTAATTCTAAATCCTAATTCTAAATCCTAATTCTAAATCCTAATTCTAAATCCTAATTCTAAATCCTAATTCTAAATCCTAATTCTAAATTCTAATTCTAAATCCTAATTCTAAATCCTAATTCTAAATCCTAATTCTAAATCCTAATTCTAAATCCTAATTCTAAATCCTAATTCTAAATCCTAATTCTAAATCCTAATTCTAAATCCTAATTCTAAATCCTAATTCTAAATCCCTAATTCTAAATCCTAATTCTAAATCCCTAATTCTAAATCCTAATTCTAAATCCTAATTCTAAATCCTAATTCTAAATCCTAATTCTAAATCCTAATTCTAAATCCTAATTCTAAATCCTAATTCTAAATCCTAATTCTAAATCCTAATTCTAAATCCTAAGTCTAAATCCTAATTCTAAATCCTAATTCTAAATCCTAATTCTAAATCCTAATTCTAAATCCTAATTCTAAATCCTAAATCCTAATTCTAAATCCTAAATCTAAATCCTAAATCTAAATCCTAATTCTAAATCCTAATTCTAAATCCTAAATCTAAATCCTAATTCTAAATCCTAAATCTGAATCCTAAATCTAAATCTAAATCTTAATTCGAAAGAAGAATGAGAAAGAAGAAGGAGCAAAGATAGAAGTAGAAAGAAGGAAGTACGGAAAGAAGAAGGAGAAAGAAGTAAGGACGAAAGCTATAAGGCAAAAAAGACTAAGGCGAAAGAATAAGGAAAAGAAGAAAGCAGAAGCGAAAGGAAGAAGGCAGAAAGAAGAAGGATAAATAATAATGTAGAAATCATAATGCAGGAAAATAATTATAAATATAATGAGAAATCCTAATTCTAAATCCTAATTCTAAATCCTAATTCTAAATCCTAATTCTAAATCCTAAATCCTAATTCTAAATCCTAAATCTAAATCCTAAATCTAAATCCTAATTCTAAATCCTAATTCTAAATCCTAAATCTAAATCCTAATTCTAAATCCTAAATCTGAATCCTAAATCTAAATCTAAATCTTAATCTTAATCTAAATCTAAATCTAATCTAATCTAATCTATCTTTCTAAGTATCTGTCTATCTGTTTGTTTGTTTGTCTGTCTATCTATTTACTTATCTAATTATATCCAATATATCTATTTGTTTGTCTGTCTATATATCTATCTATCTATCTATCAATCTATCAATCTATCAATCTATCAATCTATCAATCTATCAATCTATCAATCTATCAGCCAATCTCATATATCTACATAATCTATCTATCTATTTATTTGTTTGTCTATTTGTCTATCAAACTAGTCTAATCTTCTCTGATCTTATCTAATCTAATCTAAGCTAATCTAATCCAACCTCTCTAATCTTTCAAGTCTGTCTATTAATCTTTCTAATCTATCTAATCCACCTAGTCTACCTTTTCTATCTGATCTATCTAATATGCCTACTCTATCCAAGTGACCTTACCTATCTATTCTATCTAAATAATCTACATGAAAGCAAAACAGAGAAAAAAACAGTTTCTCTTGAAACAAATTCCATTGCGGTCCTATCCTGTACAGTACTCTGACTGATGCAGGTTTCATGGAGTTTCCATGGAGTTTCCATGCAGTTTCCATGCAGGTTTCATGTTGGTTACATGCTGGGTTTGCTGATTTAGCTTACTGGTGTGTAACCTTCATGACAGCTCCCTGGAACCTGCATGGAATCTGCATGGAACCTCCATGGAACCTGCATCAGGCAGAGTGCATGGTAAAACCAACAAGTGTAGATAGAGGCATCACCTCCATAACGCACATGGAAACTGCATGAAATCTACATCAATTCTCCATGGAACCTGCATGGAACCTCCATGAAAACTGCATCAGTTGGAAGGCGCCATGCAACCATCACGTTTAGACACAAGAAACAACGGAACCTACATGAAACCTCCATGAAACCTACATCAATTCTCCATGGAACCTGCATGGATACTCCATCAAAGAAGCGCCATACAAGCACCAGGTGTAGATACAGGGAACAGAGACTTTTTTTTTAGTGGACACTACGTGGAAACCATCAGACGCTTTGACGCAAATTGATCGCAAATCGATCGTAAATCGATCGTAAACTGATCGTAAAAAAACACACAAAAACTGTCATAGCATCTGTGCATTTTGATGTCGTTTTCACTAGGTCATCTGTCTTTGTTGATGTCCCTTTTTGTTTCTGCACTGGAAAAGTCAATTTCTTCCAGAGTTTCTATTTATCCTGAGTGTTCACTGCTTGGTGGTTTCGATTTTGGCAAGGTTCAAATGTGAATTTTTGTTTGATGTCATTTTGATGGAGTTTTATGTCTGTCTCGGTGTCAACTTGATGGAGGTTCCTAACATATAATATTGCAAACTAAGTTAATTAACAGACGAAACCACCAAGAGAAATGAACTCACTTATGTCATCTTGGATTCTATGATCACCAAACCATATGAATATATGAATTGGCAAGTGCCGTTTTCTACAGGCCTTAGGTTCTTGTCGATGTCATATTGATGTTGTTTTATGGCCTTCTTATTCGTTTTTAGGCCGATGTCAAATCGATCGACAAAGGATCGCAAAATGATCGCAAAACAACGTCGAAATCCTACATCAAAATGACACATTACAAAGTCCACACTTGAAACCCTGGCCTTGCCAACATCAAAACCGCCAAGCAACGAACACTCAGGATAAATAGAAATTCTGGAAGAATTTGACTTTTCCAGTGCAGAAACCTCAGCAAAGACAGATGGCCTAGTGAAAACGACATCAAAACGCACAGATGCTATAACAGTTTTTGTGCGATCAATTTAGTTACGATCGATTTGCGATCGATTTGCATCAAAGCGTCTGATGGTTTCCATGTAGTTTCCATTAAAAAAAAACTCGAACATGTTCCCTGTATCTACACCTGATGATTGTATGGCGTCTTCCTTGATGGAGTATCCACGCAGATTCCATGGAGAATTGATGTAGGTTTCATGGAGGTTTCATGTAGGTAACCGTTGTTTCTTGTGTCTAAACGTGATGGTTGCATGGCGCCTTCTAACTGATGCAGTTTTCATGGAGGTTCCATGCAGGTTCCATGGAGAATTGATGTAGAATTTCATGCAGTTTCCATGTGCGTTATGGAGGTGGTGCCTCTATCTACACTTGTTGGTTTTACCATGCACTCTGACTGATGCAGGTTCCATGGAGGTTCCATGCAGATTCCATGCAGGTTCCAGGGAGTTGTCATGGAGGTTACCCACCAGTAAGCTAAATTTGCAAACCCAGCATGTAACCAACATGAAACCTGCATGGAAGCTCCATGGAAACTCCATGAAACCTGCATCAGTCAGAGTACAGGATAGGACCACACGGTTTCAAGAAACTGTCTTTCCCCCATTTCAAAAATAAATAGACAAGTACAAAAAATGCACTAGAATTCAATAATCAATTAAACAATCACGTGAAATTATTGGACATTAAATAAGTGTACATTTTCCGAGATACAAGATGAATATCAATTCAAAAACAAACCTAATCTGGTAGCAATCATCGTTGTTTTTAATTTGTTTTCTTTATTTTCAACGACTTCATTGTTTGCAGGGTTTGATATTTTTTGTTTTTTCTAAGTTTACAAAACCATCAATTCCCAGACTTCCAAACCACCAACCCAAACCACCACGTAAGCACAAGTTGAAATGAAAGTTGATGGTGGCATATTTCTAGTTTGCACTGACGAAGATGTGAGTGTGGAGGAGAGGAAGATGGCCCGGGCCCGTGGACATGGGTTTGTTACTTCCGGTGCCAAGCTGGAGAAACACCAAATCCTTGCACCAGGCCAGCTGGTGCGCCTTGAGAACTACGAGAAACTTTACGCAGAAACTGGCATGACTGATCAAAGCTTCTTTGCAGATTTGGATCAGAATGTGACAGGTGCGAGCACTGCAGGAAGCATGATTCCCAGCCTACTGACGCATGGAACTATGTACGCCTTGCATGCAGGCCGTGTTGTATGCCCAGATGAGCTCTATGTATCGCATGGATACAACGTTGTGCCATTGCCCAAGAACTCTGCAGCCACAAGTTGCCGAATCAAAAGCTTTTTGAAACAAATGCCGACGCATCAGCGGCTACATCTTCTGGGAAATGCGTGGCATCTTCCAGTAGTCAGTGCGTGGTGTCTGTACGTACTGTCACATTGCGTGTGGGTCAACAGAAACATGACAGTGCAACCGGAACGGTCTTTGCTTCGCAAGGGCGGCTCACGGTTATGTGAGTTGGATTGGGATCAGTCGCCAGAAAAAAAACGCAAAGAAACGGCCGACGACAACCAGTAGGCCCAGAAGATACCATCCCATCATCCCATGCCATTCAGATTGCGGATGCTGGATCGATTCATTCGACCTTTGTCCCGTTTGGTCGTTTCAGTTTTTGACCAAGCCAAGCCACACGCATGCGAGTCTTTGGCTGAAAAAGTGTATGCGCTGGGCGGAGCTGTTGACTGACCATATCACATTTCTTGAACTTGCTTGCCTTATTTGGTGAGTGTCAAAGGTTGAGCGGTTTGACCGCCGCCATCTTATTTCCATTTTGTGATTCTACATGTTCTGACTAACTGTCGAAGGTTGAGCGGTTTGGCCGCCGACCATCACTGGATTTTGTGATTTGCATTTATGTTCATCTGCCTCATGAAACTTGACCAATTATAAACAAAACATGCAGTCACAGACGTCACAGACCCTTCATAAATTCATTCGATTTATGATCCCCCCGCAGCCGCAGCCGCAGCCTGCATTGAAGGCTCTTCAATCAAATAAAAAAGAATTTCCAGTCTTGAGGCTTGAGACTCGGGGTTTAAGGTTTCAGGTGCTACTTTGCAAAGAACGTACCAGTACCGCCAGTACTATGTGCGGTGACCTGCCAGTGATTGGCGATTGGTGCAGCGACGCATGCCATAATATAATCATATTTCATACTCATACGCCGCCATTCATATGGGTGGTGGTGTGTTAGTTTTCCGTCAGTCACGCACTGACTGCAGGTTCACTACTGGTTTATATACTGTTTTTTTGTTTACACTTATAATAAGTGAAATGGAATCAAAAAAAGCTCGCAGCAGATAAATACGCAATAGCAGTGACCTGCCAAAATAAAAAATAGGCACGCATGCATAATTAAAAAACAATATTTTGTGAAAAAGCATGCCCAGTGCAAAGAAGTCAAAAATATCGCGCAGAAACACTTCCTAACATTATGAAAAATTCTGAAAATTATGAAAATTTCATAAACAAATCAAAAAGTACAAAAACAAATGTTTTTAAAAAATAACGAAATTACGAAAATGATTCTGAAAATTATGAAAACGAATCTGAAAATAGTAAAACAAATAAAAACAGAATATTTTTCAAATGCAAATGTAAAAAAAATTGGAATATGTAGAACGTTTCAAAACTACTTTAAGCACACTGAAAAGTCAAAAAAAATGCCAAAACTGCGAAACAAAAACAAAGACCGCGACGGCACATACTCAAATTTCAAGAACATTGGAAGATTAAAAAAAAAACTGATGGGTTGCCAGGTGGCTGTGATTGCTTTCGGTATGGCGTACGTATTTTTCGGAATTCAGGATGCATACCTGAGAACCCTACAGCAAAGTTAGCAGGCTTCCCTTGCTACCTGCACACTTTCCTTTTTTCATAAGCATCATCGGTTACCCTTGCTACCTACACTCTTTCTTTTTCTCATAAGCATCATCGGTTATTTGGGTTCATTTTATCTTTATTGATATCCATCGCCACTTGTGCCTATGTGCTTCTTTCTTGGTACGTATTGCGGGGGGATATTAATATTAATATTACTACTACTACTGCTGCTGCTGCTGCTGCTGCTACTGCTACTGCCACTGCTAATTAGGCTGGAATGTTGTGCGATATGCTGATGGGATGCGCAGATGAGTCAAATTTGGTGCATGGGTGCGCAGATGAGTTAGGGTGCGCAGATGAGTGAAATGTGGGGTGCGCAGATGAGTGCTTTGCCTTGGTTGATGGTCCTACGCTACCCTATCCAGTTGAAGACTTGCAAACCCTTGGGAGCATAGAGTCCAGAAGTCTTCAACTTGAGATGAACCGGACGTGACATGAACGTTATTGCCCCACCCCACCCCACCCATCCTCCCCCTGAATGCAGAGCATAGAGCCCAGGAGTCTTCAACTTGAGATGAACGGGATGTGACATGAACGTTATTGCCCCACCCCACCCCACCCATCCCCCCTTTGAATGCAGAGCATAGAGTCCAGGAGTTTTCAACTTGAGATGAACGGGACGTGACATGAACGTTATTGCCCCACCCCACCCCACCCATCCCCCCCTGAATGCAGAGCACAGAGTCCAGGAGTCTTCAACTTGAGATGAACGGGATGTGACATGAACGTTATTGCACCCACCCCACACCATCCCCCCTTTGAATGCAGAGCATAGAGTCCAGGAGTTTTCAACTTGAGATGAACGGGACGTGAACATGAACGTTATGACCCACCCCACCCCACCCATCCCCCCCTGAATGCAGAGCATAGAGTCCAGGAGTCTTCAACTTGAGATGAACGGGACGTGACATGAACGTTATTGCCCCACCCCACCCCACCCATCCCCCCCTGAATGCAGAGCATAGAGTCCAGGAGTCTTCAACTTGAGATGAACGGGACGTGACATGAACGTTATTGCCACACCCCACCCCACCCATCCCCCCCCCAGAGCATTGTTATAATCAGGGGATGGTTGGAGGTACAAGTGACCCAGAATCCGAGTCGTAAGTGACCCCTACTAGTCGCAAGGGACCCTGAGTCGCAAGTGACCCAATTTACGAGTCGCAAGTGACCCCATTGCCTTGGTGGACGGCAACTCAGGTCACATCTGAGTGGGTTCCCGATTCGTGAACTGCAGCAGTCCCATGAGATTCCGTAGATTTGTCTTCAGACAACCAGTGCGAATTCATGTTTGTAACATCTGGAGACTCCAAGAATTGCCGCTGGTGGAAAGAAAAGCCATGGTTCGGGGGCATCCTTTGGTCGCGGGACACCCATTGAACATGGCTGCTTTCAATGGGAAACGCCAATGGCATAGGAACATCTTTTTGAAAATACCTGCATTTGCAGAGCGGGATATCATTCTGATTTCGTTGACTTGGCCGATGGAAGCTGTTGTGCCCCAAGGAAAACTGGCCTATAGGAGGTAGCAGGCAGCATTCTCGTCGTATTCAATGGCAACCAAAATGGCCGCTCTTGCAATGATCATGCTGGTGCTGCAGATGCATCTGGTGTCCTCTCAGGACTCCAGTTTTTCTGTGGTCCAAGCAAAACAACTGACAATGACTGAATGAGGTCAAACTCTCAGGATATCATGAAGTCGATAGGTCCAAGAATTTCTGGGTCTGTCCGCAGAAAGTTTACGTTTTTTGGGGCAACTGTTACACCTAAAACACAATCCTTTAGTGACGAAAGAGATTCTTTGTCCATCCTGGCCCAAGAAATTTCGGATGATTCCTCACGAAAAGGGGGGGGCCCTGAAATCCACGAATTTTTGGCTTTGGACCCAAGTCTGTGAACCTATGGTAAGAAGCCATCAGAGCCTACTTGGGAAATCAACCAGTGATTTGGGGGAAAAGGCTTCAAGTTGAGCTTTGCAACGGGTAGCTGTGTAGTTGCTCCAGGACACACCTGACAGTTCCATGGATGGCTCGGGCAGTTGCTCAGATGCTGAGGAAATCTCAGCCCTTCAGCTTTCCTCTCAGCAAGCAATGTGCGAATGGCGTTTAGGTGTGGCCTGGGCTTGGGTGTACTTGCTGTACCATGCGAATTTTCCAAATACCCGGCTGTGTTGACCCTGAACTACAGATGGTCCATTCCAAATCCATTCCAGTGTTCACCATGGGTTTAGTTTGTGCTTGCTAAGTTCTGTAATCATCCAGTCGCATTTTATTGGAGGGCTATTGTTTTCCTTTTTTTTCCCCATTTTTTTTGTTCCCCAGATAGCTGGCAAGCTATAGGGGTTCTTACTTCTCAAAGGTGGGGTCTTCGGTGGCGAACTTTTGAGCCCAGGGTGCTGTGCAGGGTGCTGTCCAGACTGCGGTGGCGAAGTCTGGCAAAGGTGCTGTGCAGGGTGCTGTCCAGGGGTCTTTCCAAACTGCGGTGGCGAAGTCTGGCAAAGGTGCTGTGCAGGGTGCTGTGCAGGGTGCTGTGCAGGGTGCTGTGCAGGGTGCTGTGCAGGGTGCTTTGCAGGGTGCTGTCCAGACTGCGAAGTCTGGCAAAGGTGCTGTGCAGGGTGCTGCGCAGGGTGTTGTCCAGACTGCGGTGGCGAAGTCTGGCAAAGGTGCTGTGCAGGGTGCTGTGCAGGGTGCTGTGCAGGGTGCTGTGCAGGGTGCTATCCAGACTGCGGTGGCGAAGTCTGGCAAAGGTGCTGTGCAGGGTGCTGTGCAGGGTGCTGTGCAGGGTGCTGTGCAGGGTGCTGTGCAGGGTGCTGTGCAGGGTGCTGTGCATGGTGCTGCCCAGACTGCGGTGGCGAAGTCTGTCAAAGGTGCTGTGCAGGGTGCTGTGCAGGGTGCTGTGCAGGGTGCTGTGCAGGGTGCTGTGCAGGGTGCTGTCCAGACTGCGGTGGCGGAGTCTGCCAAAGGTGCTGTGCAGGGTGCTGTGCAGGGTGCTCTGCAGGGTGTTGTCCAGAGTGCGGTGGCGAAGTCTGGCAAGGGTGCTGTGCAGGGTGCTGTGCAGACTGCAGTGGCGAAGTCTGGCAAAGGTGCTGTGCAGGGTGCTGTGCAGGGTGCTGTCCAGACTAAGGTGCTGTGCAAGGTGATGTGCAGGGTGCTGTGCAGGGTGCTGTCCAGACTGCGGTGCCGAAGTCTGGCGAAGGTGCTGTGCAGGGTGGTGTGCTGGGTGGTGTGCAGGGTGCTGTGCACAGGGTGTTGTCCAGACTGCGGTGGCGAAGTCCTGGGTGCTGTGCAGGGTGCTGTGCAGGGGCTGTGCAGGGTGCTGTGCAGGGTGCTGTGGAGGGTGCTGTGCAGGGTGCTGAGTGCTCTTCAGACTGCAGTGGCGAAGTCTGGCAAAGGTGCTGTGCAGGGTGCTGTGCAAGGTGCTGTGCAGGGTGCTGTGCAGGGTGCTGTTGAGACTGCGGTGGCGAAGTCTGGGAAAATTGCTGTGCAGGGTGCTGTGCAGGGTGCTGTCCAGACTGCAGTGGCGAAGTCTGGCAAAGGTGCTGTGCAGGGTGCTGTGCAGGGTGCTGTGCAGGGTACTGTGCAGGGTGCTGTGAAGGGTGCTGTGAAAGGTGCTGTGCAGGGTGCTGTGCAGGGTGC